TGCCCCCATGTCGCCCCGTCTCTCCTAAACCTTGCCTCGACCCACAGTAGAGGGGCATGTGGGGGAGGGCAATTTTTTCCTCCGTTTAATTTTTTATATTTTTTTTAAATTCTCAAAATTTCGAGTTATGTCATTATTAGAGAATAAAATACTAATTCAAAATGGATTTTTAACAAGTGAATTGTCCATAAATAAAATTTTTTTTAATCTTTTTTCCCCCTTCACGGGATGGCTTCGGGGCGAGGCATCCTTGCCCCATGCCCCGCGATGGGCTACCCCGCCAATCCATTCGGGGAGGGATTTTTATGCTCCATTCGGGGCGGGACGAATTTTTTTGCCATCAATATATTTCACCCTGTCCACGTAGTAAAGCTCTTTGACTATTTTTTCATAACTAGTTTTCCATTCATGCAATGCATGGAATATGTTTTTTTCAGGTAATATTAACGTGTCAAATGTCTATTCATTTCTCTCAATAAATCTACAAATTTGATTAATTGTTTAAAATGATAAATAAAAATGTAATCTTTATATATGGCACATTTTTTATATTAAAAAAATTAAAAGTTTATTAGGAATTTTTCTAAATGACGTCAAAAATTTTATTAGATTATTTAAAAAATAAATTGATCGAGAGGAAAAAGTAACAATAAGAAAAAAAATCTAAAAATGATCGAATTTCTTTTATATATAAATTTTTTCCAGATGTTAAAGTAATCAAGATGAAAAATTCGTGGGCCTCAATTTTTTGTTATTATAATTGAAATGTATTTTCTGGGGATTTGATAAATGTTCCATTGATGCATGAATTAAAAACCCAAATTGTTGGAGCTCATAATTTATATATCAAACATTATTTTAGTTTGGGTGGTTATTTTATATATAAAGGACGTATTTGATGATAACTATATTCAATATAATTAAATCGTATAATTAATTGAATCTTTTTTTATTGTTAAATATCCAATTGATTCAATGAAAAGTTTTTTACTTACGTGTAAAATTATTTTATAGAAGATTTTGCGATTGAAAATAAAAAAGAGAAAAATGAAAAAAAATAAAATTAATGGAGTCAAACACAAGTTGAACCACAGTATAATATTTTGTCACTTAAATGGAGTTGAGATTTTTATTTAATCACCCAATTTTGATATATTTAAATTTAATACTTCAAAATTTATATACATCTAAAATATTTAATATTGTTAAATTGAATACTCAGTCGAAAAGATGTCGATTAATTTAAATTAATCGACATATTTTCGACTGTTTCTTAAATTTTTTCAACATTGTGTTAAGTTTTATTTTGATTTATCACAACTGCTTTTAGAAAATAAACAATATACATGATTCAACATACTCCATGTCACGTTATAAGGATAAAATAAATTTGTATAAACAAATATCAATCACTAAGGAGAAAAAGAGGAAAAAAAAATTTATTGCGACACAATGCTTCGTGCACGGAACAATTGTGTTGCTCTTGGGTGTCAGGAGCACAATTGCCAGGGGTGAAATTGTTCTGTGCATCACGGAGCAAAACAATATGTTTGTTTTTAATTTTACTTTTTTGTCAATTTTTTTCATTAGGTGATTTGTTTAGTTTTTTTATAAAAATCTACCATAAATCTTCTATATTCTTTCGAAACTTATTTCGAGAATAATATCATAGACACATCAAATGATTTAAATGATATCGAAAATAGTTAAACGTATATCAAACGTGTGCGTTAAAAAATATGTATAACTCGTCTTTTTTTTTAAAAAAATCAATTATTTTATTAATGTTTATTATTTTTTCGCGACACTTTTTCCAATATAATTTATATCATTTTCTTTAAAAAAATTATATAGTATGACATTAACTTTTTTTTGAAGTAAAAATTCAAATCAGGCAAAACAGCAGCACTACACATGCATAGGAAGACCATTAGTAGTGATTTTAGGAGTGAAGTGGGATATTCAAGATAAAATAGTGAAACACAAAATACGTCATGAATGAATAGTGCTCGCCACATTCACTCTTTTATTTTAGTAGGGATAAAATTTTTGACGTCATTTATAAAATTTCTTAATAAACTTTTAAATTTTTTTTAATGTCAAAAGAGATATCATTTAAAAAATTAATAATTTCGATAACAAGCTAATTTTAAAAATTCATCGACAATTGTACAATAGTCAAATACATAAATCTTCTATATTCTCTCGAAACTCATTTCGAGAATTATATCATAGACACATCGAATGAGCTAAATGAATATAAAAAATAGTTAAACGTACATCAAACATGTGCGTTAAAAAATACGTATGACTCGTCTTTTTTTCTAAAAAAAAAGCAATTATTTTATTAATGTTTATTATTTTTTTCGCAACAACTTTCTCAATATAATTTATATCATTTTTTTAAAAAAAAAATTATGTGGTATGATGTCAACTATTTCTTTTTAATGTAAAAATTCAAATCAAGCAAAATAGCAGCACCACACAGACGTAGGAAGACCATTAGTAGTGATTTCATAAGTAAAGTGAGATATTACGATATATTCAAGGGTAAAATACGAAAACACAAAATATGTCATGAATGAATAGTGCTCGCCACCTTCACTCTTTTATTGTAGCAAGGATTTTTTAATGTCAAAAGAGACATCATTTAAAAAAAATTAAGAATTTCAATAAGAAACTAACTCTAAAAATTCATCGACGATTGTACAGTAGTCAAATGCATAAATCTTCTATATTCTCTCGAAACTTATTTCGAGAATTATATCATAGATACATCGAATGAATTAAATGAATATCGAAAATAATTAAACGTACATTAAACGTGTGTGTTAAAAATGCGTATAACTCATTTTTTAAAAAAAATCAATTATTTTATTAATGTTATTATTTTTTTACGACAATTTTCTCAATATAATTTACCTCATTTTCTTAAAAAATATTATGTGGTCTGACGTCAACTATTATTATTATTATTTGATGTAAAAGTTTAAATTATGCAAAACAGCAGCACCACACACGCGTAAGAAGACTATTAGTAGTGATTTCAAAAGTGAAGTGACATATTCAAGGGTAAAATATGAAACACAATACGTTCCGAATGAATAGTGCTCGCTACATTCACTATTTTCTTATAGCAGGATATGATTGAATGAACAGTGACAAGATATTTTTAAAGGGAGCAGCTACAATACATGAGTTGTATAAGTCAACAATCAACAGCAATAAAGCAATCATATTCATTTCATTTGGATGGATGAATAGTATAAATAATTAAAGAAAGATTTCAGTAAAATTAATGTTGAATGAGTTTAGCTACAGTAAGGAATCAATTTAGCCCCTGTTTGGCCCCCATTACGGGGAAAATTTAATGTATAGAATAGTGTTTTTTGAAAAATGAGTGGTTGAAAAAGAAAGAAAAATTTTCGATTTACGTGTAATATTATTTTATGGAAGATTGTGTGGTTGAAAATAGGAGAGAGAAAAATAGAATGTAATGTAATGTAATGTAATGAAAATCAAACAAGGGCTTAGTATGTAATGCCCCAAGATGAATGGTAATATTGGGATTCTCGGCAAAGAGGGATAATGAAAAACATAAGCGAATCTCCGAGTGCCACTTGCAATTGTACGTCTTGGCCAAAATCTAGCCACTCGATTGGATGCAACGTGCAATTTTAAGTGGAGAGACATCTTCTTGGCTCTCCCTGCAACAGAGACGGATTACATGTAATGGAGCTGCACTTACAACTTCATCTCCATTTTAATTCCCGTCCATTTTCAAAACCCATAATCCTCCCTAAATGCCCCTCTATTTCCACATTCTTTGCTCCAATTCTCAAGGAGGGGCAGGAGAAACAATCAAGATTATTATCGGATTTGTCATTCTCCCGGAGATTTGCGGTGGCGGAGGCCGCGGAGATTACACTGGAGCAGCCTGGAGGGAAGATGGTGGTGGAACTGGTGGGGGCCTTCAACGAGCTTATTGAGAGAATGAACAATACTGTGCTCTCTACTAGCTCGTCGCGGTTGCTATTCAAGGCCCTTAAGCTCTCTATTCCTATTCTTCACACTCTCCCGCCCGCCTCCGACGGCCGGTCTCCTCTTGAAAAGGCCTTTTCTATTGCTGTCATCCTTGCCGATCTTCAGGTCAACGCTCAACCCAATCCTTCACTCTATATTGGACAATTTATATTTTGATCAACAAACTAACTCCCAGTAAATTTGGGGTCGATTATATGAATTCTCTTTTCTTGTGCTATGTTCGGTTCATTGCTAAGTCCATTACTCTTCTCTTCTCTTTTGTAAGCACGTCTCTTTTATGTATGGCAGCCTTTTAATTCCCCAAAAATCATAGTAATATTAGTATTTGTCACAATTATAAATTTTGGCTAAACATGAAAATGAGAATCTAATGTCATGATTCTTGGAAAAAAATTACCTAAAATAGTTATTTCTCTCAAGAGTTTGATATGTGCTCAAATAATTATTTTGAGGCCCTTTAGCCTTCTCAGCCTTTTTTAGAAGAGCTCAAAATCGATCATATTTAATATTGGCTGCAGATGGATGCTGAGGTTATTTCTGCTGGAATGCTGAGAGAAGGTATAGAAGGAGGTGCCATATCCATATACGAAGTAAAGGATCGTATTGGTATTGGCACAGCCCATCTATTGCATGAAAGCATGCGTTTGAAAAATGTTTCTTCTAAAGTGGAAGTACTAGATGATGAGAGTGCTTCTGCACTGAGGAAATTTTGCCTGACATACTATGATATTAGGGCTATAGTGCTAGACCTCGCTCTAAAACTTGATACAATGAGGCACCTGGATTATCTCCCCAGGTACAAGCAGCAAGTAATTTCTCTTGAGGTTATGAAGATATATGCTCCACTAGCACATGCGATTGGAACCAATATTTTATCCCTGGAACTGGAGGATCTCTCATTCCAGTACCTTTTTCCGTGTTCCTACCAGTATGTTGACGCATGGTTGAGGAGCCACGAGACTGGAAGTAAGCCTTTAATAGATGTATACAAGGAGCAGCTTCTTCAATCCCTAAGTTCTGATCCCTTTCTAGCAGAAACAGTAGGAAATATGTCTATTGAAGGTCGTTATAAAAGTCGTTACAGTACCATGAAGAAACTATTGAGAGATGGACGTAAACCAGAGGAGGTGAATGACATCTTAGGATTAAGAGTAGTATTAAGTCCTTCATCTGGATTGAATTCATCCGGAGATAGTGAAAAAGCATGCTACAGGGTACGAGAAATCATCCAATCTGTATGGAAAGAACTGCCTAGCATGTCTAAAGACTATATTGCACATCCCAAGGCTAATGGGTACAGAAGTTTACATATGGTTGTTGATATTAGTGACAGTTGTAAAACAAGACCACTCATGGAAATACAAGTAAGAACAGCAGAGATGGATATGATGGCCACTGGTGGAACTGCTTCCCATGCGTTGTACAAGGGTGGGCTTACAGATCCAGCTGAGGTAAGAACTCTAGTTCTTGAGATGCAATCTAATAATCACTATCTCGTCCTCTTCAAAATCTACTTTCGCTTGGATTTCTCATTTGTTGTTAAAATCCCCCCCCCCCGGGCCCGATCGTCATCAGAATTGTAATTTTCATGGAGATAGTTATAAGCCAAGACCAATGTGGCCTGAAATTTTGTTAAAACTTGTATTATATTTTTGTGCAATCACCAGTGAATGATGTCACATTTCTTTAAACTAAGATCTTCTGCTGTTCACTAATTCACAGGCAAAGCGTCTTAAGGCGATCATGATGGCTGCGGCTGAACTAGCTGCTTTGCGTCTTAAAGATCTTCCTTCTGGAAATCCAGTTGGGCTTGAAATTGATTGTAGAGATCGGGTGTTCCGCCTTCTTGACAAAAATGGAGATGGTAAAATCAGCATTGAGGAACTTATGGAAGTAATGGATGAGCTCGGTGCTCAAGGGGAAGATGCTCGGGAGATGATGCGCCTGCTTGATGCCAACAGTGATGGTTCTCTAAGTTCAGATGAGTTTGATCTGTTCCAGAAACAGGTAAACATATATGGTAATGAGAGGCTTATGATTGTTCTCTTTCACTGTTAAAAATCTTACTCATGGATCATCTAGTTGACGCTTTATGCAAGAGTAACTGCCTCCAGGCTTGAGCATGTCATGTACAGAATTAAGTTTGTTTAGCATATGAATGCCATTTTCTGTGCATAATCCGGAAAAGACAGAAAGAGTCATGTCACTATGGTTTATGCTCTCATTTGATATCTCGTTGAAAGTTAGATATTAACTTTACTATCTATTTTCCATTGGAGAGTACGACATTCATATGCATCATTTGCGGTATAGATTTATATCTGAGTACTATTAGATAAGGTAGTACATCAGATTCTAAAATAAATGACGTAGAATCAGTGTTTATACTAGCTATACTCCATATTTTTGTGTTGTAACATGTGATTGGTTTTCCCTGTCTGTTTAATGTTGCAAAAGGTTAGAATAATAGGTATTTGGTGTTTATCATTTTCTCTCTTATCTATCGTATGCTTATGGCCTTATGCATTGCATTCATGTTCATTATGTAGGTTGAATTGATGCGTAATTTAGAAGATAGAGATGCTCAATACAAGACCCTTTTAAACAAAAAACTTGAAATGGGAGATAGCAGTGGGTTGATTCAGGCATACACTAAAGAACTTGGAGACAGACTTGCCATGAACTAGTTCTTATCGGGTACATTTAACTTACTGCAAATTACTTGGAGACCAGTTTACAACTCATTTGTCTTGCTTGTTCTGGTATGGGTATCTTCAGAACATATCAACCTGTAAAGAACTATTATGTAGAGTACTTCTACACTGTATAAATAGAACACTGTTTTCTCTTTGTTCTGGAACACTGATTTTTCTCTCTGATATTTTTAAAGCGAGTTATACGTAAATAAATATACGAAGGGGTCCATTTATAAGTATGCGAATTTGGATATATGTAAAAACTAAAAAGTAAGGAACAATCATTTCCTGCACCGCGTGAAGGGGTACATAAATGTTATCCAACATCCATCGTTTTACTGTTTAATCCGATTGTGTAGTCTCTATGCTGACACTGTATATAAAAGTTCATAGAAAGATGCAGCACTTAAATTCGATTTATTATGTAAATAGATTTTATTGAAGCTAAAGATGCAGGCTTATATGTGCCATTGATGTCATTCTTCTATAAAAACAAACCCCAATTTTCTGGGATGCATCTGCACTTATGTTACAGATTCCAAAAATTATTATAAAACAAATTTACAATCTATTTCTAGGCTTCCATCTGCTCTCTTTTACCCCCATACCTAATATCATTATCTAGTTTCAGCCTACCACATCATCGAGGATAAAACACTTGATGTTTTTCAAACCCCTTGACAGAATTGAGTAGAATAGAATAATATCAATTGGTATTCTGAATAGTCTTTGAATACATTTCTTAGTTACTTCACAAGCATTGTTGCCGTCTACCTCCAAGTTTTAGACCTCTGCGGCTAGTAGCTCCTGGCTTCCCAATACACCCAAATCACTAGATAGCTTTTCACATAACTGCATAAAGCACCGTACGAGAAACTGTTGGTAATATGTATGCCAATAAAAGGGGAGGACAAGGAGAACTGCTAGAGGAATACCTGTCTGTATACTGTAGGATCACCGCATGATTTTCGCAACTCAACCACATACAAGGATGGGCTTATCTCAAAAACCTGCCAGAAATGGGAAATTAGGAAAATAATTAAAAATTTTAAGGCAATATTATGCCCTGTGTTCTAAAATATCATCCCTTAAGATACTTACTTCTGCAGTTACTGAGAGAATGCCAGGGCTTTTCTGACCTTTGTGCACTTGTATTACTTTCAACTGCACAAATCAACAGAAAAACCTAAATTATTCTAAAATTGTAGTGAGTTTTCACCTAAATCTTGTTGCAATTAACATCATTATAAAATGCCATCAGGATAATATTCTAGTAAGATTGAACTCAATTTTTTTGCCAGCCCAATTTTTCCGAAGAAAGAAATTAAGAGGGACGATACTAACCTTTCCATTTTTCTTCTGGACTTGATATCCCATCTGGAGTACTGTATTTTCTATACTCTCAAGCAATGCTTTTCGGGAATGATTTGATGTAAATCTGATTTTTCTCTCAGAAACATCCTGAAGGAAAATAATTTTGTTCTTACATTGACAATAAATTGTGTGAAGCTGCTAATTCTTTATTGTCGTCCTTACCTCTTTTTCAAAGAAGCCGGAAAGATCTAGGCAAGAGGACATTCCGATCAGCTGAAAGGCATTGATGACGGATGGTGATTCTGGATCTTTTTCTGCATCTAATGGCTGTAGAATGGATAGGTAACACAATTAATTTAAGAGAAGAATTTGTGAAATGAAACTAATTCAAACAATGAAGGATTAGCTTCAAATTACCTCATGTATTGATGATGCTTCATCATCTGATGCATTTTCTTCAGTTTCTTCTTCAATAGGATCTACAGGAGTGTAGTCTTGTTTGAACCACAAATCTTCTTTTATCTCTGCCATGGTAATCCGTGTATGTGGGTTGGGATCTAAAATCCTCTTTATTAAGCTTTTGGCTCCTGGCGATAGCCACTTGGGTATCTGAACATCCCCCTTGAGAATCTGCTATGCAATTGGGAGATTATAGATTTACAGTGTTTCTAAAACTTAAAGAAGAGAAAATCATGGTGATGCAAGGACTACCTTCTGATAGAGTACTGCCATATTTCGATCATCAAAGGGTAGGTACCCTGTAAGAATCACATACAAGATAACACCACAGGACCATGTATCTGAGGTTGCACCATTGTAACCTCTGTTAGATAGAATTTCGGGGGCAACATAGTTTGGACTTCCACAAGTTGTATGCAACAATCCATCTTCCCTAAGATGTTGTGGTAATGCACTGAGGCCGAAATCAGTTATCTTCACATTTCTCTTGGCATCGATCAACACATTTTCTAGCTGTGTTCTAGAAGAGAAAACATTAGAGGATATAAAAGAATCATACTGTAATGTGAAAGCATTATGATGATCAGCAGCAGTGTTTTTATACCTTGAGATCTCTGTGAAAAACACCATTGTTATGGCAGTAACTAACCCCATCAATTAACTGATGAAAGAGCTTCCTGCCTTCAGATTCTGAGAGTTTTCCTTTGGATGCCTGTGAAATCATCCACCATTGATCAACATTCCAAACAAAATTTTCCATATCCCAAAGTGGGACGAAGCCTTTATGTATAGCAAAAGTGAGAACTGCTACATGTACAGAATTTTTGTACAGATTTGTTATCTGCAACCCAGTTTCTGTACGAGTAACAAAATTGTGGAGAAGTTACTTACAATCCTGTCAAACAGTTCACCGCCATTCACATATTCGAGAACCATGAATATCTTGGTTTTGCTTGCCAAGACCTGCTGGGTTGTTCATAAGTAAAGAGAAACACTATTACAATGCACAAACATGATTTAGAAGATTACATTTTTTTGTTAATAAAAACTTAAATTTCTAGTCAAGTAAAACCAAACATGCTCTTAGTCATTCACATGTTGAAACTTGTCGATTAATCTTGAACTAATATCTCTTGACTTGATGGTTTGACTTCGCGTGCCTAGAAGAAAAAGAGCATTGATCAATCCCGATCAATAGTGTTGAGTTTGGCCACGAGAAAGAATTGTGATTCTTTGATTTCGTTGGCATCTACTAATTGTCACGACTATTTTGCACATCGGGCAACCTTTCATCGCGTCCCCAGTTGAGTTGTCGTGCTCAGCCTTGCTATGGTCAAGTAGCAACTTTCTAGTTCAGCAAAGATTAATTGGATAGAGTTTGGTAGCTCGTGTGTTGTCCAAAATTATTGTTTGGAAAATGTTTTCTAGGGCGGCTAGTTCATGGAAATCGTCAAGATATGGCCCACCCTCGACCAATCAGGACGTTATGTAGGTATAATAATTATAAAAAAAATGACCTGTCATGCTAATCTTAATAAATAATTGTCCACAACGCAACAGGAAAAATACTTGGTGCCTGAATCCAAGTTGTTGTGTCCTTCCTCAATATTCATAGGGCAATGCCAATTCCATGTTTATCTGCTAGAAAATACTTGTTGTACTTTTACATAATCATCTACATAATGTTTTACATATTGATAAGGTGTCAAAAAAAGAGTAATATTTATTATTATTATTATTATTATTATTATTATTATTATTATTATTATTTTTTTTTTTTTTTTTATTAAATTTTTACGCTCAGGTGACAACGACATATGCTGATTCCTAACCAAATGTGAATTTGGATTTCATATATGTCAAGAAGAAGCAAAACCTGGCATGGAAGGTTATATACCTCGTATAATCTGACAACGTTTGGATGCTTGAGAAGTTTTAAGGTGCCAATCTCCCTCTTTATCTGCAGTCTTCAATGTAAGTAACTAAAATAGAGAAAGATGAATGTTTGGAGCAACAAACGCGTAAAAAGAACTACCTGATCGGTTATGTTGAGGTCGAGGATCCTGTTCTTCTCCAAGATCTTGATAGCAAAGGACTGGCCAGAATCCAAGTTTTTCGCGTACTTAACTTTACCGAAATTGCCTTCTCCAAGAGTCCTCCCAAGCTCGTATTTTCCCAAACGCATACCCTTCTTTTCTTGTGTCAATACCATATCAGTATCACACAACGAGGTGTTTTCGTACTGGCTTCTTCTACCTGTACCTCGTTCCCCTTTACGATCCTCCTCTATATAAGCCTATGCAAAGGCAGGAAGGGAGGCTTATATATACGAGTTTATAGTGATCCTTTATCCAATTTTATGAAAGCCGGAATTTTACGTTTTGTTGAGCTTTCAAGCCGTTGAAACGGTATTTCAACTATTGCCTCGCGGAAGGAGTAGGGAGTTTCTTATACACCTCTACCATTATTATATAATATGAGTTGATTTTACAAATAGTCACTCAAGTTTCGATAAATTTTCAAATTGGTCCTTCAAAGTATTTTTCTTTTATAATTGATGTTACATCATTTGTTCTTAAACAATTTTTGACTCATTCAGTCACTAAAGTTAATTAACGTTACATCACAAGTCAGCCTGTTAGTGTTGCACGTGTCAATGGGGGGCAAAGAGGTCCTCCATGTCCTCAACATGCCGATGATTTCTGGGAGGTGGGTTGGACGTGAATTAAAATATCTTCATTTGTTGCTTCATTTAATTTTATTTTTTTTAAAGATAGGATTTAAACTTAATTCCATAAAAAAAGAGTCGGTGCAAAGACAACACATTTTGCCATCGCTACCCCTAGGTGCTTATTTTGGAGTCTCGATGCAAAAAAATAAAAGCAAAATACGTAAAAAAATGTTCAATCCAAACATAATTTAATTTTGCTCTGCATAAAATGTATAGTGTTCAAATATGGATGTTAAATTGGATAAGTCATTAAAATGTGTGTAAAATCTTGTACGTCTTTACCATATTTTTCTCAAACTAATTATCAACGTTTACTGAATTTGACTAAAATTCATTGTAATTTCCAAAAATTTCCTTAATAGATCGAATATAGTACGTGGTTAGTATGATGCTCAGTTCCTTAAACTTATGTACACATCAATATTATTAGGCATTACAACGGATTATACGTTTTTCCACTAACAGAGTGACCAACGATGTAATGTATGATGTTAGTTAAGTTCAACGAGTAAATGAGTAAAAAAAAAACAAATCTTTAGGATTTAACTTAAAATTTTTGAAAAACTTCAATGACCATTTATGAAATTATCTCGTTATCATATATGCGATAAAATATAAATAAACACATTCAATTCGTGTCCATAAATCTATTGAGTGATTTCAGGTTAATAAATTATCAAATTTTATATGTGAACTCTTAGCTACGCAAATTAATAATTCAATATAATTAATGATCAATTCCAGTTTATGTGGGGATGTCGTAAGATTAGGTTGAAAATTATTGCTATCCACGAGATTCACGATTTTGCCATTATTTTGGGATCATCTTCGTCACGTTATCCTTTGTGTACACTTTCACTCTTTTGATTTGCTGAATACATGTGATGAGTTGTCTGCACCGACCCATGCGCATGTGAAGGGGACAAAGTCAACATTTTTCGAGATAGCATTAGGAAGACGATAAAAAAATTTAGAATATTTTGATAAAAGTTATATAATTTTTAAGTTACGAGTTCCATGATGTGTATAGTTAAAATTAATTGATCATTTTGATCTCTACTTTTTATGATTTCCCAAACATGCACTAATTTTATTTTATTTTTTTATTTTATCATTTTAATAATAATAATAATTATTATTATTATTATTATTTTAAAGTTTGCTCAATTTGACAACAATCTTTGAAGGGTGAAAATGCTTGTAATATCTAGAGGATTTTGCTACTTATACAAAAAAATGGTACATAAATAGTTACCGAAAATGACGTAGAGGGAAAAGATTGAATGAAAATTTGGCTGTCTTATAAATTGACAAATGATAAAGTGTCATGTAAGTATTATGCAATCGTTTATATAAATTTTGATATACATATAACAAAGTCAACATTTTAATAGTCAAGCAGGTTGTAAATGTAATGTAGGGATTCTTTTAGCTCTCGTTTGGTCCCCATTTTTTAAAATGAAAATGGGTGACATAGATTTTTTTTTGAAAAATAAGTGGTTGAAAAAAAAAGGAAATATTTTCGGTTTACATATAATAGAAGAGAGAAAAAAATGAAATGTAATTTAATGGGGACCAAACGGGGGCTTTAAGTGATTTAATGGATCTCAAGTGAATTTTTGTCAACCTTTAATCAAAATTTAATTAGACGAGTTTCGTGTATAATTAAAATTTAAAAGAATCATTTTAATTAAAATTTAAAAGAATTATTTAAGCGATAATTAATATTTGCCGTGAAAGATAGAGCATTGTATTAAGTTCGCTTTTAATGAAGTTTTTAATGTGCCATTAATACTATGGGAAATACTATGTGTACACCTGGTGTACACATATGCATTACACCCCTTTTATATGAAGGGGAATCCGCGAATATTTTCCTAATACTATAAGAAGCAATCCCACCTTATAAAATGGGCACCACTTGTGCTTCTGGTAAAGGACATTCTTGAGTGCTTTCGAGGCATGTTCGTTAAGTAGATGTTGACTTGGTGTTATTTTTGAGGATATGATTGGGTGAAATCGCTAATTGAGTGCAATGATTAGGAAGGTGTTTGGAGGAGATTAAAATTAAATTTTTTTAGTAGATTTTAATAAAAGTTTTTGAAATGTATAGTTGAAAAGTTATGGAATTTATGAAAGATGTGATTAATATTGATTGTTTGATTTTGACTTAAATTAAAATCAGATTTTAATCAAAATAAAAAAATATAGGTGTAGCATGCCAACAATAAACATAAATTAATCAGTACACACACCACACAAATTGACACGCACTCAATGCGCAAAACGCAGTGAGAACACACAAATAATCACACAAACACGTGCACACATACAACAAATTATGTCCGCACGTATTTATGTATAAAAAATGATTTTCTTCACACAAACCAAAACACATACCATACGCAAAAATTGTAAGCGCAATAAAATTTGAAATTGATCTCTTGCTACCAATGACTAGGATGACAATCAACAGTGAATTTTTTTTTTTTATTCTGTTTATTGTGAGCAAGAGGTCAGACCTGCAACAATATTTATGTGTGTTATGATCCTTGCGTGTTTATTTATGCATTATTGGGTGCAAATAATAAATAAAAAACACACAACAAAAAAAAGTCAAAATCTTTTGTCCTTATCTGAAATAATGGTGTTAAGAATGCAATATTTTGATTTTGTTTGATAACTCATAATGATCCCGAAAATTGAGACAAAAAAAAAAATCATTTATATATTTTGGAACGGCCTATTTCGACGAGTTGTAACTTTTGCTGCGTTTGGCAGTTTCGTAAGCGGTTAAGGATGCGATAAATTAGTCTATGAGCACTTCGAAATGATATTAAGAATATAAAATTTCAACTTCATATAATATTCTCGTAATACTTCCGAAATTTGAGATCGTAAATAGGGAAATAAGGGGGTGGGGCAGCTTATGTTGGGTGTGGGATGTATTGGGGGTCAGGAAATAATAATGAAGTATGGTGCCACATTAGATTTTTTGAATTTCTGTATCTTTCATGTGATCAATTTTCTATCCGTGAAGTATTATTAAATAATAAATACGTAATATAAAAATGAAAAGGAGAAATCCACGTAAACGAAGATGTGTGGATCAAAAGTCAATTGAAAATTTCTTGCACAGGGTTCAAATATGATTTGATTCTTCAACCCTACTTGGTGTATAAGGTAGGTTCACACCAACACCTCACATGGGTGTGGGTGAATTAAATTTTGGCCATTGTTTATTTAGGTGGAGCCAATGCATTTGTGAGTGTTTCCTATACATTTTTTATGAAGTACAATCTATACACACAGATTTATTCTTGATTCTTTCCTCCATGATTTTTTGAAGTTCAAACACAAAACTTTGAGATAGAAAAGTCTATATAAATTACAAAAGTGTTACATGTACAACAATTTGTACAATCCTGTCTGGATCTGCGATTAAAATAATCAAAGGTCTCACATGTGAGAGGGCTGTGACTTTCACATGTTGTACAATTATCTTTATTGTATAAATTATCTTCTTTTACTATACTTCCAAAAACAAGTTCATTTCTCTTTCAAAGAAAAGAAAAATGTTCCAAGTTTCGATAGGATTTTAAATCATTATTTTTATTTTTATTTTCAAAAAAAAAAAAGGAAAGAAAAAAAGAGAGGTGAAGAAAAAAAATAAAAAAAAAAATTGAATTCCAACCTCATTCATTCACATTGAATAAAAAAAATTAGAAATTTGTTCTAAGTATAAAAACAAGAGGTCAATTTTCAATCGAACTCTAAACAAAATTTATCCATTTATTTGCTCATAGTACCAACTAGCACAGTAACGTAGCGGAAGGCACCTAAATCAGACATTTAAAAAAAAAAAATTAAATAAACAAATGAAATAATTAAATGGACCATGTTGATTTTAAATAATTAACCATTTAACTCTATTAAAACCTAAAGTCTATTAAAGTCCATCCTACTTTTAGAGAACCCATTATTATAATGAACTAATTTTTAATTTAAATATGATTGAATGGTTATCAAATTTCTGCATAAATAGGGAAGAGAAAACATAAGCTAAAGCCTAAAGAGTTGGAAAAAATACAAGTTAGCAAAAAGTCCTAGAGAAAATTTCAAAGGTCCGAAGGAAGAAGAGAATAAAATCTCTCAAATTCAAGGTCGAAAATTCCAAGAAAAACAAAGGATATTTTTTTTTTCTCAAAATCCAAATCAAAAGCAAGTTTAAATTGAAGTTTCGAAGTCCAAGTCTAAAACAGGCCAAGTTATTAACAAATTTAAATTTCAACAAACCTTGAAATCTAGGATTCAAGTCACATGACCTCTTATTTTCAAGCATTCGAGTCATCGATTGGACAATCCTACAATTTCTCAATCACAAGATAATCGACCTATTTTGTATTTCACAAGAAATTAATTTGTAAAAATTTTCATATTTGTATACATGAAATTTGTTATAAAAATGCATAATCTTATATGTAAAATTGAGTAACGAGTGTCTACCATTATGTTGTAATTTGACTCAAATTCTAATGAGTATTAGAGTTGGTTGAAATGGTCTTGAAAAGATTAAATTATGGGTTGGGGAGAAAAATTGTTGCATTTTTTGCTAGCTTGGCGCTTTAACGGAGAGATTATACGACTTGGGCCCGTTTCGCGTTTTAATACATTTCAAAAAAAAAAAAAGTCACTTTTGTAAAAAAAAAAAAAGGAACATATTAGAGTTGATTACAATGCTTTGAAAAACAAAAACAAGGCTACTAGTGCTATAGAGAAAGGAAATCAACCTAAAAACACAGTGGATGCTGATATTATGGAAGAACGAAAAAGTAAAGAAGAGGTTCTTGTGATTTCTGACATGGATTCCAAACTTTATGTGGAATGGGTTCTTGACTTGATGAGTCGATGTGTACTTTTCATATGTGTCCCACATGGACTAATTAACAACATATGAAGGAGTTTCGAGAGAGCAGTGATTATGGGAAACAATGTGCCTTGCAAAATTGTCGGAGTTGATACAATCAAAGTCATAATGTTTGATTGGCTTTTAGAACACTTACATGTGTAATGCATGTTCTAGAACTAAAGCAAAATCTCATATTTATGAGTACACTTGACATAAAGGTTTATAAATATATTGGTGAAGGTGGAGTTTTGATGGTGAGTTGGGGTGCCATTGTTGTCATGAAGAGATATAAAGCTCTACACAATTGTACATTTTGTAGGATTTCACAGTTATAGGGATGTAGTATAGTTTTTACTTCTTTGACAGATGAGGAAGTTACAAAACTTTAACATATCCGGCTTGGGCACATGAGTGAGAATGGTATGACAAAATTAAGTGGGGGAGGACTTATTGATGGACAGAAGACCAATAAAATGAAGTTTAGTGAGCATTGTACTTTTGGGAAATAGAAAAAAGTTAGATTCACTAAAAGAAGACACAACACGAAGGGAATACTTGAATATATCCATTCAAATCTTTGGGAACCGAAGATAGTGCCTACTAAAGGAGGTTTTTATCACTTTTTAATAGTAATTGATGATTTCTCCAGGAAGGTTTGGATTTTTTTTTGAAATAGAAAAATAGTGTGTTTGAGACTTTAAAGAAATGGAAAACAACAATGGAAAAGAAGAGAGGAAAGCAGGTAAAATGTCTACACATAGATATGAGCTGGAGTTTTGTTCAGATGAATTCAATAACTTTTGCGCATTTTAAGACACTTGGTAGTGCTTAAAACTCCGTAACAAAATAGTGTAGCGGAACGGATGAATAAAACCTTGGTGGAAAAGGTTCGTTGTATGCTTTCAAATTCTACATTGCCTAAGATTTTTTTGGATTGAACCTTATTACAGCTTGTTTTCTAATTAATTGCTCACCCTCATTGCCATTAAGAAAAAGACATCAAAAGAGGTATGGTCTAGAAAACCTTCTATTATTCTGATTTGAAAAATTTTGGGCATTCTATTATGCTTATGTGGATAATGAAAAGTTAGAGCTTAGGTCTAGAAAATGCATCTTTCTTGGGTATTAATCATGTGTGAATGTATATAAGTTGTGGTATCCTGAGACAAAAAAGTTAAAGGTCATTAGAGATATAGTGTTTGATGAACTTGCTATGAGATCTCAAGCTACCGCGTCATGTGTACCCTATCAATATCAATGTTATTCAGTTAACTTTATGCCCCTGTTTGTTATCCATTTTCTCCTATTATTTTTCATTATTTTTCCTACAGTACTCATTTTGAACCATACATTCTTCATTAAAATAATATTATACGTAAATCTAAAATTTTTCCTTCATTTTTAACCACACATTTCAACATCAATCACTATTCCACAATGCATTTTTCCCAAATAATGGGTGACAAACACACCCTATATATCCCTTGAAAATTTTCTTTAATTTTCGTATGTCGTACAAGAATTACTTCCAAGCAAAAATCCAGAGCTTTTGGACCGACACATGAAACTTCACCCATTATTAGTGTCCTTTTAGGATGGCAATCAAACCGAGCAGCCTCGTATTTGGACGAGCCCGAGCACAAGCCGAGCGGTTTGTGGGCTTGTAAAAAAATGGAAACAAAAGAGTAAAAAATAAAAATAAAATATACTTGATGTGGGTAGATGGGCCAAGCCCGTTCGGCCCATTGCCACCCCTAAGTGTCCCTGGTCACAGAATTTTGCAAGTTTGGGGGATGATAGATGATGAAATGTGATAAAAGTTGTTTTTCAAACTAAAATGAAGTTAAACAAATTAAAGTTTAGTAACCCAGTCGAGCCTTCGTTGAAAGTTCAGTTATTTTCTTCCAAATAACACTGCTTAAAATATGGTACAATGTTTAATGGTTACAAACAGTAAACACGCTGAAATGGAACACACTTCGGAAAACCCGAAAGAAAGTTGCCAAGGCAGTCAAAGCGTGAAGACCAGTAGCAAATGAAGGAATATGTTTTTTCAAGTCTCGAAAAACCGTAGCTCTATCATGAACTCTCTGTGTCTGGGCGCATACCAAGCAATAGCCTTTGCTGAACCCAGAACTTGCAAGGCATATTCGACAGCAAATACGGGATCCTTCACACTTAAATACAAGTCTTTCTTCAGATCAATTGTCACTCCCGAATCGATTCTGAAGCTGAATGGTCCAGCAATCTGCATTGAGCCATTGAGGTAGGCATACAGAGGGAAAAAATGTGAATAACCTACTGTAAGTGATAAAAACAAGAAGATGGTAATGCTACTTTAAGTACCTGCTGCTGAAATGAAAGCGAGGCAGTGGGACAAATTGCCTGAACTGCTTGCACAGTAGGTGTTTCAGAATTATAAAGATCGCATGCCAGACGTGTGGCACCAGACAGGAATTTTGACCCAGAAGGAATATCTAGCCGTCCATAAAACTGAGTAAGGTCAAGAAACCTCCTTTGGAAATTTCCGTGTTGAGCAGAGAGCGATGCACTTGCAAAAAAATCAGCTAAAATCGCAGAATTTGCTCCTCTGGCTTGAAGACAGAAGCCTTTTGAATTCAATGACCCATCTTCTACTTGGGTTCTGATTGAATTCTCTCCAATAGAAGCAGTGATGACAGCACCTACAGTGCCAAGGAAGTACAGTCAAGAAAAGAATGAAGTCTTAACAAATCATTTATAGAGATGCCAGAGAAGTATATTTAACTGATGAAAGTAACGTTATGTTAAGCTAAATAACTACTCCTAGGAATGATTTGGTTAAAAAATAAGCACTAAGCATTTAGGTATCATATCAGTGTCATTACATGCATCCTTGCTTTGGGTTGTTACAGGATACATTGCCCATATTCTCAATCATTACTTATTAAATCAGGCCTTAAATGAAAATTCGAATTCTCCGACATTGAATTTTTATTAACTCAATAAAAGACAACAAAGAATTTTTGGACACGCCTGGACACCAGTCATACAGCGTTTTCATTTAAGATAGGTAGGTATTGATCACTATAATATTACACTTTCAAGAGTCACAAAGCTGCCTGTACTTACCTAAGATTCCTGATGCTGAAATATGAGGGCTAGAGAGAAAGATGTCATAAGGTTGCACCATTTTCATCTTTGGTGCTTCACTTCTCCAAATGTCGACATTTTTCTTGCAAGAAACTGCACATTTCGTACAGAGACCTGGAAGTATAGAAGCAGGAACTCTGCTAGTCGGCTGGCCTTCATATGGTTTTGGATTACCTGTTGTATGGTTGATGCAGAAACGACAGCTTGTACCAGAATCAGAAGCAATTGGTGCAAGATCCATTGAGATAGAGAATGGAACGTCCCAGTAGTTACCATGCTGATCAACAAAAAGTGCGGGGGAAGCTGCCTCCACAGTTAGATTGTGAAGTGGAAACTACGAAGGAAATCATAAAACATTATCATGCATCGAACAGATCACACGTATACTGTAAATCCATTATGAAACAGAACACAATTAAAAGTTCTAAGAGTTTGGGTACAGGAGTTGGGTATTGGCATGCACACAAGAATTGGATCCATCAAAGTCTACCGTTGATGCTAAAAATGAAGCATCTATTTGCCATTGCATAGTCTGAGATTTGGGCGTCAGACATTCTGCATTCACTTAAAAAGTTGCATATTAAGGGTTTGTGTAACATAGTTTGGAACTACAAAAGGAGTTAGATAAATGCCAACACATTAGAAGTTAGAACACACGAAAAACAAAGTACATCAGGTAAACGTTATTTCCTCACTCACAAGTAACATAATGACTAACCATTTACCAATATAGTGATGATAAAGGTTTAAAAAAATCATCCATCAAAAACAGTTCAAGTTTAATTTAGAGATCAATAGTCATACACGCTTGCCTTGTGATGAAATACTGCTTTCTTTCGAGGAGTGTTTTGATCACCATGTGTTTCTAAGCTAAGTGTCAATACATCATCCGGTGTTAACAACAACTCTGAACAGAAATTGAGGCCATAGAAAGATTGATCAGAAAGATGTCTCCTAATATTTTGCAACCACGAGGAATCTGACTCTTGCCTGAACCCCTTCGTCCTGAGAGAAGTCACAAACTTCTGTACATTGAACTGACCAAGTAAAGTCATAAACCTGCATGACTTTGAAACAAATATCAGTCAATTTCTATTCCTCCATGTTGACTTAGAAAGGAATAGAAAGGAAAAAAACAGAAAGGAAGAAAATGGTTGCACTTAACAATTCACTGACATGGTAAAAGGAAGTCCATCTGTGAGTTTAAGAATATGTCGGTTTCTTTCTTTTACTACATATATTGTAGGGAGATATAAGAAGAGGGATCTGAAAGGCTTTAAATTTACAAGCAAGGACACATTTTGTATATCTTCCTTGTGCACAGTTCCATTTTAATTTTAATCTTTTCTGAAATCCAATCAAAGATTAAATTAATGAAACAGCACGAACAAAATTAACCCAATGAAGTAGTAGAAGAAGCTATATTGTGGGCAACTCTAATAGAGTCATGTGGAATAAACAGACAAGAACCACGTCCAAAAAATAAACAAATTTGTCTCTTCTGATTTCGCTACTCCCAATATTCCCCGTATCATAACTAATAGTATCCATTTCTTTCTACAAGTCCTACAAAGAGGTTGACAGTGGAAAGGAAACATGGAACTATAAAATTGACAAAACTCAAGTATCATATGGCTAATTTCACAATCTGCCAGAGAAGAATACAGAAATGCTCAGTTAAGATCAAAGGGTGAAGGAGAACGTACCAGGTTTCGCGATAGAGAGAGAAGACGCGTTGAAGAGAAAGGCCTACATCTCCATAGTGGGAAAAGGAGGGGACTAAAGGCATAAACATGAAGCGCTGGAAGAAATCAATCTGCTTGGGACGAGAAAACCTGGGCCCACGAGAAATCCCCAAATGGAGTGGGTCGCCAGGAACAGGGCGGGCTACGCCGTCAAGGGTCACCGGCGTTGACACATCCACGTCCCAAAACCCTCCATCCATCACCCATCTCAGCTTCTTCATTATTCTCTTTCTTTGTAGGACGATGCCGGCGCCACCGCACCACTGGAAACAGTACAAACATGCACTGAAACGATCGCTATGTACATATAGGGTAAATTTCACCAGGGTCCTCAAACCTTTTGCGAATGTTCCACCCTTGTTCCCGACTTACCAATTGCTGCGCTCATATCTCTAAACTTCTAAAAATGGAAGTTCCTGCCTCATGAAAAACAGTGGGGGTTTGTTTGATTGGAAAAATGGAATTTGGTTAGAAAGAAAATGAATTTCAAAGAATTTAATTGTCTAAAACTTATTTTATTAGAAATTGTCAATTAAACGTGTTTGATTAATATAATT